TGGGTACATTTCTCAAAGGAAGCCAGACAGTTTGCTGTCTCTATCTGTGACTTGTTTCTGGCTTAATCAGTACAGAATTGCTGAGCCCACTGGCGACTGCTGCTCTAGGAAAACTTTTTCACTCACCCTGCCAACATGGTATACAGTAGGATCCCCAAGCTCCAGATGTCACAGGCTGCATCGTAACCTTGCCGTTTAAGGACCTATGTGAAGGAAAGCGAGAGATGAAAATCGGTTAATCTACATTCCTGAATTTTTAGCTTCTGGTCTTCAAAAAGCACCAATTAGTGGTTGTATCTGCTGATATTTCCAGGGCTTAACTGGCTTGAACAGGTGGCTGCCTCAGGAGCAAAATGTTCAGTAGTGGTGTGGAGCAAGGTGAAGCCCAGGCTGGAGTGAGCTGGTTAGTGTTCAAGCCCAGCACAGCTGTCACCTCCACAGCAACAGAGATGAGTGCAGTTTGTTGGAGGCTCTGGGAGCTTCTCTGACCATCTAACACACAGCAAAGCAGAACAACATTTCAGTGTTTTAAAAGGTTTCTTAAAAAAAGCTCGTTAATACTTTGAAACAGATCCTCCTAACATAAAGGTTACCAAGAACACTATGGATGCAACAAGCGTAGGGCTGAGTGACAGTGATAAGCAGGTCTGGGCTCAGTTCAGGTTTGATACAACAAATGGGTGCACATCAATGCATATCTAATGTCAGACAAGTAAAGAAGCATGACAACTGCAAAGAAAGTTAAAAAGCTTACTCTTATCTTCTGTATTAAGCAAAGTGGCCACATTTAGGCTGGACTTAAAAGATAATAGGCTAAGACTTGATCCCTCTTCCCTATAGTGAAAACAAGACCTATGGTACTCAGCAGACATCTGTCCAGTAGGTTCAACGTTGGTACAGGATGGTGAGTTATAATGGTAAGGGTAAAATCTCGATTTCATTTATGATACTGCATACCAGAAGAAATGCCTATTTGAGTAAGTGCAGGTCCAAGTGAAAGTGAAGTCACCAGCTGAGACAGCATTGCTGAAATTAGGGGAAGAACTTTGGTTTTGTTTGGCTCAGAAAAGCTCAAGGACCACCTCCAGATCTCCCACGTGCTTGTAAATGCAAGCTACCCTTCTGTTTATTCAGTTCTGACACACAAGGAGTTTTGTCCCCTTGTGATGGATTAGAAGATACACTAATTTTTTGCAAAGCACATGAAAAAGGAATGTACAAATTCAGCAAGTCTTTCTCTGACCTGCAGCCTTATTACCCAGGAGTGATTTCAGCGATCTGAAGTCTATCACAGAAAAGACCAAGCACTGCTAGGAAAAAAGCAGTTTCAGAAAAGGTTGCCTTGACAGATTTTACAAATGATGAGTGATAAAGCAACCAGCTGCCAGGTATGCTGCTGAGCGAACATTTGCTACCTGGAAAAAAAAAAAGGGAGAAAAAGCCACATTTCCTCCTGTTGACAAAGCTGGCAAAATCCTTCTTCTGCCTCTCTCTCCTGCACATCATATATATGCCTTCTGACTGTTTTAATTGTTTCTATTTCTTTAGTTCCTGCATTCATTCCCCCTCTGTTAATGTTAGTTTTAATGGGAAAAACTTCTTTGCTATTTGACAAACTCAGTTGCTTTTTGCTTCACCTGTGAGACTGAATACCCAACATTTATTTTTGGTGTGGTCATTCTTGTTGCTTCTTGAACAGCTACATTTTCATTGCCATCGCTGTCTTCCTGAAATAACCAAGGACAACCTAGTCCAAGGCAAATGGCATAAAAGTGGGGCAGTGATGAGGTTTAGCAGAGCGGGGTGTCATGGTTTAACCCCAGCCAGCAACTAAGCACCACACAGCTGCTCACTCACTCCCCCTGCCCCAGTGGGATGGGGGAGAGAATTGGAAGAGTGAGAAAACTCCTGGGTTGAGATGAGAAGAGTTTAATAATTGAAATAAAATAAAGCAAAATAGCACTAGTAATAATAACAATATAATAATAATAGTAGGAATAATATACAAAGCAAGTGATGCACAATGCAATTGCTCACCACCTGCTGACCGATACCCAGACAGTTCCCAAGCAGCGATTGCTGCTCCCCGGCCAACTCCCTGCAGCTTATACACTGAGCATGACGTCATATGGTATGGAATAGCCCTTTGGCCAGTTCGGGTCAGCTGTCCTGGCTGTGCCCCCTCCCAGCTTCTTGTGCACCTGGCAGAGCATGGGAAGCTGAAAAGTCCTTGACTAGCATAAGCAGTACTTAGCAACAACTGAAACATCAGTGTGTTATCAACATTCTTCTCCTACTAAATCCAAAACACAGCACTATGCCAGCTACTAGGAAGAAAATTAACTCTATCCCAGCCGAAACCAGGACACAGGGTATTAAGCAAATGGTTACACAACCCCAGAATGGTGGGCAGGTGTTGCTCTGTGCTGTCATTCAGTCTGCAAGAACACTGCTAGATATCAGGGGCATTCACTCTGTGCCAGTGTCTAGGGAAAGCTTTGCTGGGAATTACTTTTTATCGACAGCAACTTTACCCCATGGATAACAACGGGATCCAGTAAGAGTTATCAGTTAGTGTCGCTGCTACTTGAAAATGTCTCCAGCAGGTCTGTGCAACTGTGGTTGACATGAGAACACTGAGCTGGCAGGAGCAACTGTTGGAAAGTTTGGCCAAAAAGATTAGTGTTTGATCTAGGGGGCAGATATTATCAAACAGGAACAGGCATCTGTCTTAGAAACAAATCAGTCAGGGGAAGAGCTTTGCAAAAGGTGTAGTGGTGTCCTGCTCTAATCGATGCTGAATAATTTACCACCCATGAAGGGGTCTAGGTCACCCTAAAAGACAATTTGGTGGGATCTGAAATACACGCATGAGCTGGTTTTTAGCTCCAAACATGGCAGGGCGTTGTGGTGATAAACTTCCTCTGGGTTCATCCAGTTCTGATAATGGCTCAGATGTTTATCCAACCCCCTTTTATTTCTATAGGCATTGGTTTATTGGATTAACGATGTTACAAATATACGCTTTTCTCAGCTGTGACACAAGCAGGGATTGTGTCTGGGTACGAAAGCTAGTAAACAATCTCATCGTTTCAAATGCCGGAACGGTAGTTCTTCACGGATTTTGGAGGAAAACTGCAGAAGAAAATCTTGTGCTTTATCCAAAAGGACCCTACTGCAGCAGTAGGGGAGCAGCAGGCTGCCTTCTCCCTCCTGACCAGCCCTGCCCTCGCTCCCTGCACGCAGCGTGACCCGCGCTAGGTGGCAGCGTGCCTCTTCCGCTCGGGCAGCCTTCGCCTTTGCTCATGTTCTCGTCTAACCCCCGAACTGAATGTTTCCAAAATAAAGGCAGATTCAAGTGGGCAAACATGTCACCCTTCCTCTGCCACTCTCCCCTTGTGTCACCGGCTCAGCTGACTTTGCGCCGCCTCGTTTGGTTTCATCCACTGTACAAAATAGCCCCTCATGAAAAATAGCTACACCTATTTTGAGTGCATGGTGTCTTGGAGAAAATCTCAGTGCCTTAAATCTTGCAAACACGATTATTTTTTGGTTTAGAAATTGAACTGCTGTGGTGCCACAGAACTTTTTTTACTTATTTTGATAAATTTTAAATAGCTCATTCCAGCTCCTAAAATGGAACCCCGACCAAACAGCAATAAAATAACAAACCAATCTGTCTTGGCAATGGAAGATGTTTTGCTGAAAAAAATCTGCTTTGAATTTATACTGCCCCGGCAATGGTCTCAATTTAACAAATCCTCTTTCTGATGCTGGAAGGCTGTGATTCCTGTATCTTCTGATATCACGAAAGGACCGTGTACAGAAAGATCATCCCATTTTTCACTTCCCAGTTACATACCATGCAGATGAACATTGGATGGAGGAGAGTCATGGGGAAGAAAAAATTGCTGAATGATAGCAACTGAGACAAAGTGGTATTTGACAGTAGAGGACAGCTGAAGTATTGAAAGGCAATAGTTTTGTATTTTTCTTATAAGGACCGTAACAAGCAGAGGCAGACATACATCTGAAGTTGTGTACTGCAAATACTAAAATTGCTGATAAGCATCACTACAAGAAATGGACAATTACCCAGGAAATTAACCTCCTTTTGTTGGAAGGAAGCAGCTATGAATGTCTCAAGGGGCAAACACAGCAAACAGCCCAAGCCATTCAAACAGCAGTGGGACCCAAACCCACTCCAGTGCTGCGTGAAAGGGCCAGCACTTGCCAGCAATGCAGAGCCACCTCTCCGGGTGCTTGGGGCCGGCTGTTTGGCCTGCCTCCCTCTCCCTGTCTGTAAAATTGGGAAAGCAGCCCTTTCCTCCATCCCCCATAATGGGGGGATTGGTACTAGGAAAGCCCAAGAGGAGAGATGTTTCTTTAGCTCAGTGAAGTCAACGATAAAGCTCCCACTGACTTCAGTGTAGTAAGTATCTCACGCATGGATTTTTCTTTTAAGTCTTATTCCTGATACCAAGATTTCCCTTTTAAGCCTTATCCCGTTCTGACACAGTGCCCTAGAGGTGAAGCAGTCTGAGCAGGAGCAGCTACAGAAAAAAAGGTATTTATCCTAGTAATGAGCCAAATCATTCTGTACGTCAGTCTGAGACAGACACCAGCTTCTGTCAGGAGAAAAACAACTGGCCTGACAAGACCAGGAATAGGAAAGTTGTGGTAATAGAGGCTGTGCAAGTGCTGGTAGCCTGGTTTCTGCCTTCCTCCTCTTGTAAAGGCACTGAGGAAAAGGGAGAGAGGAAGGACTCTGCTTCGTAGGACACGGTCATTACCCGCGGCTTTGAAACGCCATCCTACCTCAGGGGCAACAAAATTGGCGGTGTAGCAGGGAGTCATGAGCAGCCCGTTCTCCGCTCTCAGTTGCTTGGCAAACCCGAAGTCACAGATCCTGATGGAGTCTGGGTTTCCTGACTCATCCATGTAGAGGATATTACTTGGCTTCAGATCTCGGTGCACCACCTTAACAAGAAAGCAGCAAGTAACAAGTGAGGAGAGGAGGTCAGGGAGCATCCAGGCTTGGCTGCCATTCCTGGTCTGCTGCCTGAGGTAGGTCAAGAGCTCATGCCTAAAATATTTAGGTTTTGGAGAACAGTTGCTTAAAAGCCTTGGGCAAACAAAGCGAAAAAAAAGGTTAAAGTCTGTTAAAATCAGAAAGAACATGTTTGACAGCCTCTGCTGGTGTATTAGGTTAATGGTTGGACTGGATGATCTTAAAGGTCTTTTCCAACCTAAACGATTCTATGATTCTATGATTCTATGATTAAGATGGAGGCTGCTGCTCTAACGGGGGCCACCTTTCCTGAGAGCCATCAGAGGGGGTCGCTGTACAAAAACCTTGGTGTCAGAGTCTCCTGGAACCTGATGGCCCTAAATATTCAGCTGGAAGGCAAAGAAGAAAACCCGTCATAGGAGGAATGTGTGTGAGGGCCTTCTTGTGACTGTCCATGTGAGCGGCTCACACCTGAAGGGGGGGATTATTTTTTTTCCTCATGTCAAAATATATTCACAAAAATCCTTCCAGTAGGCATGCAACTTCGGCATGTTTTACCAGACATGCTGCATTTCAGTAGTGGGAAAACAGCCTTCATTTGTTATAGCAAGACTGAAAAACTATCATGAAAACGTAAAAGCCCGAGCATAAAATGCACTTGTTTTAACCATGAAACAGAAAAAGCAGCAAATATTTGACTAGTCATCCAAACTGCTTGTGCCTGAAAAGCAGAAAAGGAGAGATTTTCAAACTGCCCAAGATAGCTTAGATTTTAAAATCCAGCTCTTTTAACAGCGTGTCAGAAACCTTTCCCATCAGCTGCTCAAACTGCCACTTCATTTGGAAAGCTCAGCATTTGATTTTCTACCTATCTGCTGATTCAGCTACCCTATTTGAAATTCTGCTAAAAGATCAGGTACTGCAATAAAGACTGTGATAAAAAGTAAAAAAGTAATACCTCAACAAGGTACATGAACTTGAAAATCAGTGTAGTTTGGGAATGAAAAGACCACTTCAACATACTGCAGTTCAGTTGGGAAATGGCTAAAAAGCCTATGACCCTATTTCACAAACCAAATGTAATTACAAATATAGAGGAAGATTTTTTTTTTTGGTGGAAAAAAAATGTATTTACATTTCAGAGAAGCAAAATCACAGCTATTTGCTTTTTTCCTAAAAGTCATGTTTTAAGAAGGTTGATGCGGATAGCTACAAAAGCAAAGCTTACGCCCTGAGAGTGCAGGTAGTCCACAGTCCTGGTGATGGTGCACAGGACAGCGCTGGCCTCCCGCTCTGAGAAACACTTCTGCCGAAGAATACGGTCCAGGAGCTCGCCTCCCCGCATCAGCTCCATCACCAGGTACACATATTTCCCATCATCATAGACCTGGAAGAGTAATAGCATAAATATATATTTGGGACCCATTAACTTGGTGAAGGTTGGTCCTTTAATCACAGTGTTGGCTTGCTTGTGTGAGATATTGCAAGAAGAAAATGTCAGCTAATATGTAGGAAATGTGCTTATTACACTTAACAACAGAAAAGGCAACTTTATAAAATGACTTAATCATCACTTTTTTTTCGTGTCTGTGGCAACTTGCTGATTTGTCCACACAGAAACGTTGCTTTCCTGCTATCATGTCAGCAGAGTAGACCAAGCTGCTAAAAGCAGCATCACTTCACACAGTCTGAAATGTCTGCTGGCTCTCACCCAAAAGCCTCCTTCTCAGTAGTGTTCTCTCTTTCCACTTCTACAGGGTAACATTTGCCATTTCAAATATCAATATTTCCCTTTGACTCATGATTAGCTAAATGAACTGTATTATACTGTTGGCCAAAACCTGCTTCCAATGATATTATATAGTTTATATTTGTAGTTCTGGTGAATACATTGCTGACATCAGCTGCAAGATGTATTTACCTTCAATGTCAATTGCAAGGGGTAAAAGACATTTTTTGTCTAAATTGGAAGACAGCTATTTTTATGTCATAATCTTTTACCTGGACTGCAATAATGGGCGGTGTTATAGTCATCAGTGATAAATGTTTTTGGGAAGGAATATAAAACCTTTTTTGCACAGATTTTAAGATATTCTTTAACACTTAAGAATTAGGTGAGGCTTTCCTGAGGGCATGTGATTAGAAATTTTTTACATACTTCTCTACGGCCTGAACCATAATGTACTGGCCACTGACACCCGCAGGATTTTGTTCTGTAAACTCTGAATCCGACACGGTGTAGGCAATCCTAGGTGAGACGGCAGGCAGCTTAAGTAAAACACCTCTGACTAAAGGTCATTACTACATGTAAGCATAGCAAAGGCTGTTCTTCATATGAAATGCTGAAGGAAGATACCTTCATGTCTTCCCAGGCTGCCTGAGTAGAAGGTAAATACTCGCTGGCATTAAAATACCATTGGGGGAAACCCTAGCAACTTTGTGAGCTCTCCTCTTCCCAACAAAGCAGATATCACAGGCTGCATGGGAATGGCTGCTGCTCATGAAAGAGCATCCCCTGCCCAGCAGCACCACTGTGTGTGCTCAGCCACTTGCTCCGAAACGCCCAACTAGGGAGGTCTCACTTCTGAAAAGTGCTGCAAAACCAAACACATTTTGTTGTTCTCCAGCACTGTGCCCCTTGGTTTTTATTTACAGTTGGTTAGATGGTAATTGGAGAACATATAACCCGACCAGTCTTTCCAACTGTTGTCCAGTAATTTGTTAAGTCACGTTTTTGTCCTTGATTAAAATGGGTCTGGTTTTAGCTCTGACCTTCAACTGAAGAATTTTCCAGACATGGACTAGTAGGTGAGCCTGAGCATAAGGTGAAAAATCACTTAATGCTGAAGTGCTCAAAGACTACTCACATCTTTAAGAGTAATGATGTTTGGATGCTGTCCATATCGCAAAAGGATCTCAATTTCTTCAGAGGGGTCTCTCTTGCTCTTATCAATTATCTGGAATAAATGAAGCACAGTGTAGTAACATACCGGCTAGCAGCACTAAGCACAAAACAAGCAATTTCTACAGTTTAAACAAATTAATATTTAAAATTCTTCTATTAATCGTTATTCCAAGAGATGATAGCTCAAACCCTGTTCAAATGAGAGCCATGCTGACTATGTGCCAAAGCCAGATGGAGCAACAATTAGTTTAGATTCTGAAGGTGTAGGCCCTCTTTTCAATGCCTATAGTTTTGTTTGCCTGTAAGTAATGGCAGTTACAAGAAGTGTCATTAAGAAATCAAACAATCTGGAGAGTTTTAAAATAATAATAGTTTTAAAATTACCTCTTTGACATAAAAAATGAACACATTCATAATATTGGCATATGCTTGTATATCTGCTGATAAATGAATAGAAATTACTTATCAGGTGAGTTTGTCAGAAATGAAAATGTATAGACATTTACTGTCAGGGGAGATCTGAGTTGAAGCTATTGGTAATAACTTGACTCTTTGGACCATGCTGTTGTAATGAACATGACAGTGGCCAGAGATTGCATTTGGTCATGTAAGCAAACTCTGCTCATTCCTAAGCTAGAAAGAAATCTGCTCTATATATCACTTTTCTGTATTCAGCATCTTTTGCCTTATCAGAGAGTATAGTGAGACATAAAAACTTTTTAGTTTTATAGCAGCAGGTCTCAGAAAAACATGACACCTACTGCTTAAAGAGCATCACTGCACAGGAAGTCTGCTGTTAGGATGGCACCGACTTCTCATCAGTGCTCCTATTACCTATATTTGGGATGTCAGTCAAAGAACTTCAACCATTTGCCCAGTTGAGAGCACTGATTTAAATGATTAAATGCAGATGTAAATGATAAGTATGAAACAAAAAATAGCTATAAAATAATCCAAGGGAGATCTCTGTATTTTGGAATCTCAAATGCAACTGCAGAGGGAATGGCGAAAGCTCATTCTACTAGAAACTCATTAGGAGTACAGTATTTTGGCACAATTTCTTATTGCTAGAAAACAGCAGCAGTACTTTTGAATAACAGGTTTATCAAAGAGGAATGGGTGGCATTTTCAGAAAATCATAATTCCATTATTGGCTTGGATTTCAAGGCTTCCAACCTTAAATGTGGTTAGTTCTCTCTAAGAACTAGACACAGAGCACAGATTTAAAACAATGGTGTTTGCACCATTGCTTTTCAAAAATCTCTTTTGTTAATGAGGATAAATGCCTGGCTGCTTTTGCACGCATTTTATATGGCTTAATTATGGCGATACACATTTAGGTACACGTCTAGAATTTTATGCATCCGTTATAACAGTGCATACTTGAATATAAATCAGAGGTTTTGTAGTCATCATGACTGGCATGCATTTGCAGTGATAATGATAGTCAGTAGTTGTCCATGGCTGAGGTATGCATTTGAAGCCATATCAGTGATTTGATTCTGAATTAATAGCAGTGTGACAAGTGGAAGTGCAACAGGGAGCTGATGCAGGTAGATGGCTGTTGTCCACATTTGAATAAGTGAAGAAAAAAACCTCAAAAACAGGTGAGTGAAAAAATTCTGCTAGCAATTTCTCCTTAGAATAATGTTGTTCTCCCAGTTTAGTTGAGACACTCTCAAAAAGCCAATGAAACCCTGATTGAATGACTCCTCATAAATACAACCACAGTGACTGAATGTGTCCCACTCAGCCAATAACTCTAACATATAAAAAGATCCTCAGGGCCACTTCGTTGGCTAAACTAATATAGCTCTTGTCAAGTTAATGGAATTACACACATGTGCACCTGTTAGGATCTGCCTGCCTTGTACAAACCAGCGGAATTTACTGCAGCAAGTATTACTACCACTGTGTGAAGTACTACTATCACCATGGTACTGTTGCAAGCAATATATTCCAGATTCCTTTTCCGTTGTATTTTCCTGTGAAAGGAAATATCCAGAGCTGTGGAAAATTTTAAGCAACTATTAATAATGCTGGACTGTAAATGTATATAGATGGCCTAAAAAATATCCAAACCAAAAATAGTCTGAGCTATTCACACAAAACTCAAAATAACGTAACCTGCAGCAGTCTGCTACTGATTTAGTAGCAACAGCAGTAGATGATATGTAATGCTTCTAATTCACAATATGTTATATAAATATAAATCACAAGACAGTCCCACTAAATATATATGCTTTTTGCTCTAGCGTGTGCACAAGCTGCGATACAGTGATTAAATGGACAAGCTGCCCCCAACTGCACAACAAATCATTGTCAGAGCTGTGAAGGGACCTGCCAAGTTCCTCGCAGTCCCTGGGCAGTCTGGTTGGACAGACCAGAACAATTTTTTTCCTCCACAGCGAGAGATTGTCACCCTGATGGTGCTTCTCGTCAGTGTGCCTGTGACTTGCACTTGGCCCATGACTGAAAAAGCAGCAAAGGAGGTGGCTGCTGCAACTTTGGCAGAAATCTCGCTTCAGTTCAGACTGGCTGCAGTATGCAGTTTCTTTATCCACGTGCTGCAATGGCCACAGCAGCTCCTTAAATATGCCCCATAGCTTCACCGTGATACCCAATTCTCCTGGTCTTCCTCTTCAGAAAGTGTTTCGGTGTGTTGTTAAACCTACGCCACACTTTCCAAACAGGGAAGCTGCCATGTCAGGGTGGTTCTGCCTGTGGTTGCTGCCTCCTTTTGCACCCAGAGGTGTCTGCATCACAACATGAGGTGCTGCATCCCCAAAACACCTGCAAATCTTGCCCCAACTTAAGTGCCAAAATGACCTGTGGTAAAATGCAGGCCCAGTGCTCCCTATTGAACACAGGGGCTAAGGGAGATGTGTCATGGGCTTCTGGTGATATTCATAAGTAGTTCTGAGATTCTCAAAAAGTAACAGATTAAATGAATTAAATTACCTAAGTAAAAAGGCAGTAGTTTCACTACAGGTGTAAAACAAGCGCTTTTTGTGCAGCTGTATTTCTGATTTTCACTACGGGTGTTGCCGTATATAACATGGAGGAAAAGCATGCTCCAGGCACCTTGTGCAGATGTGGCAGGAGAGAGGCAGGATGGAGGCAGCCCCAGCACAGTCACCTCTGCATGCTCTCCTCACGCTCGCCAGCTGGCCACAGGGCTGCCTGGCCTCCCAGCAAAAGCATGTGGCTTCTGCTGTACTTGTGCGGTAACCGCTTTCTTCTCCAGACAGCAACACCTGGGCTGCTGGGAACAGAGTCCAAAATCATCATGAAGGTGAGGGAGGCATTACAAAGTCTAACCATGGTTGCGCTCTGCCTCCTGGAAGCAAACCAAGGTGCTCTTCTTGCTAATCCTTTCCATGGGGGACCTGGCGAGCATCTGCTGGCTCCTCTGTGCTGTGCTCCCACCGCGCTGAGCTCTGGTGCCCCCTGAGCACTCGTGGAGTGGGGACACGGATGTTCTTCCCAGTGGGCTTTGATCAGTGGTGAACCACTACCAGAGCAGACATCCATACCAGGCACTTGGCTTTCCATTTCTGTGCTACTGTTTCTTCCTCCTGCTCCTGCTTTGGAGTTTAATTGTCTCTAATATTTAATGACCAGCTCTACTGTCAGTCCACCTCTGCATATGGAGAGGTTTTATCTCTGTCCACTGAACTGAACCAGTGCAGATTGTGTAGACCAGACAACAGCGTATGTGGCACTTCACATCCGACCAATGTCCTCAAACTAATTTTAATACAACGTCTCTCAGAGCTATGCTGTCAGGCTGCCCAGAGAGACCCCACAAGGATAGCCCATTGTTGGCTACTCTGCTCTAATGAGGTCCAAAGGCTCTGGATTGTTTCCTACCTATATACTGGAAGCTGTAATGCTAGAAAGAAAAAAAAAAACATTTAATGTTACAGATATGGATACAGGAACTGCCATACTCTCATCAGACTTCCTACATGAGACCACACATGGCCGCAGCATGTGACAGTGTCTGCTCTTGTTCAGAATTAATATTATTATTAATCGGTTAAGTTTTTTGCTATCTAGTAGCTTTAAAGCTCTACTGTTGGATGCTGGCAAGCTAAATATGTCTGTCTGAATTTTAGATAGGCAATGACACTCTTAAACCCTGATTAAAAGCTGAGCAAAACTATGTAATTTCTAAATATTTCTTGTGGTAACAAAGAGCATTTGCCACCCTGGTCACTCTGTTTCCTCTGAGACATTGTGTTTTGCATGAAGACAGACTCCTCTTTATTCTGTCTGTGACAGCCCATGAACCTCCTGCAGCTCTTCCTGTGCAAGGGATAATGTCTTTTATTTAGGAAATTCATTCTGATTTGAACTCAAATAAATGTATACATAAACACCTTCTGTTACAGAATGAAAGGAAGATTTTCTTTGCTACCGGTCCTGAGTAATACGTAATGATGCTACTTTTCTATTTCTTTCTGTAGATGTGCGGTGAAGAACACCAACTCAGAAAGCCATCATAATGTATAAATAACTTAAATGAAAATGTAACAACAGCTCTATTGTGCTTTGGCAGAGATGAGCTATGAAGCACAGGGGTTTTCTATTGTCCTTCAGAAAAATAAGAAACTGAGCCATAAAACAAGTAGACTTTTCTCTATGTATTGGACACCCAGGGATTGCTTAGAAGCTCGTCTGTATTAAACAGTGGATGAAACAATTCCAGAGTAAAATGGGGTCAGCACATGCATTAGTGTCCTTTGTTCTAATAGGGGACTTGTTTGTTCTTTGACTATCACATCCTTTGTGTATTTCACTGACTAGCTGAAAGAAAAGTGGAATTTAGGGTAACAACCTCATGATATTTTAAAATGAGTCGAGCACCATCAATGGGAAATACTGAACTCTTTCTCTATCAGGAAAGAAAGGATCAGCAGAGAACATTTTAAAAATCTTAATTAACGCGTCTGGCCAGTTTTTACAAGTCCTTCTAGAAGTCTTTTGCATGGAAAAAAAATCACCTGATTCTCCCTTACTAATGGGTTTTCAATGTCTTCAGCCTTG